AAATCTTCCTCTACTCTATAGTATTAAATCCATATACTACTGTGAGATTAAACTGATAACCTTTACTTCTTTCATTTATATGACAATGTATCATCTGAGCTGAACTAGTTATTAGCTTAACATCATACCGACTATCATCCCATATAATCCAAATTCTCCCATTAACAGCCTCCTTGTAATTGTTCAGACTTTTCCATCCTGGAGCTATACCATTAACTGTAGTTTTTGCATTTATCTCTTTCACTCTAGTTTCAATTGACCCTGCTAAGGATACTTTATTAAGATGTAAAAACAACTTTATCTCTTTTTGCTTATACCTCTTATTCATGCCCTCACATTCCAAAAACTCCACTTCATTAAGAAGTTTTATAAGATCCACCTCTATCCACGGGCAGTGAAGCCAGCTTGCTATTCATGAGGCTCTCAAATCCATTTCTCATTGGTATGGCTGATAACAGAGGAAAATTGGACTAACTGAATTCCAGCTGCTTGCTTCCAGTATTAGGCCTTAGATTAAGTTCTTGTTTTTGCTTGATTTTCTTATCTCTTCTTTGTTCTATCTCTTGTTTCTCCTCCTGCACAGAAGAAGAATCATCTTCTATATTCTCTAGCACCTATCTTTGTTCATCCTTCTTCTCCTGCTGTTGGATTGGTCCTTTATATTGCCAAGTCTGTGTAACTTTTTTCCATGGCCTTCTCTTCTTTGGCAGATCCTCCATTGTTGCTGATTGACATTGATGTCCAATCTTCTGACATTTATCACATTATAGAGGCTTCCACTCCATCACAACATCCTGCATAAAAGTTCTACCATTTGGATCCATGATTGTTATATTCTGAGGAATAGGCTTAGTAACATTTACTTCAATAAGCATTCTAGCATAGGATATTCTTGTCTGCTTTGTAGTACACTCATCAGCAAATAATGGCACTCCTATAGCACTAGCAATTTGACTCAGTGATCCAGCTCCCCAACAATTTAGAGGCAATTTAGGAAAGTTAACCCATAGAGGTATTTTAGTTAAGAACTCATTCCCAAAATCAAAATCAGGACTCTATTGCTTCAATATAATAGGCCTATTACTTATAGTATATGGCCCTGAATATAGCACCTCATTCATGTCATTCAAGATCTTAAACTTGATTATATAGTATCCTTCCTCATGAAGAAATACATCAGGTTTATCCACTTTCGACCAGTTCATCAGTATGTACCTATTCATAGTATTATATCCAGGACATTCACCAATTACATAGGCTATAAGTGCACATTTCCACTTTTCTTTTTCAATCTGTACCTCTTTTCCTTCCAGCTGAACCATAGTTTGCCCATTCACTATTTGTGGAGGAAAGTAAGTCAAGTTCATTCCATTGTTAGCTGGACGATTATTTTTAAACATATTAACCCAAGGCTCCTTATGTTCCTTACTTTTCTCCTATTCTATACCTCCCTTACTGTTGTCATCTTCAGTTACCGTTCCATTGATATCCACCTTATTCTCACCATCAGAATGTTCTAGATCTGAGTTACCTTGTACCTATTCCTTTTCTAGTGAATAGTTTAAGCTCAAATTCCTTAATACTTTAGAACTCACAGAGAGTTCTTCAAAACTACCTTCCTCATTTTGAGCTTGTTCCTGCTGATTCAACTCAATTGCTTTTACTCGAGCTCCAACTAAGCTACCAACTGTTAGTATTGATGTTTTCCGGCCTCATCCTCGCCCTCTTCCTCTTCCCCTCGACATTTTCACCTGCACTGCGCACGTTAGTTAACCTGCGCCGAGAACATTTGGAGAGGAGAAGCTTTTATTTATTTTATTGTTTATTATTATTATTGTTGTTGTTGTATTTGTTGTTATTATTGTTATTATTATTATTATTATTATTATTATTATCATTAATATGTAACGACCTGTTTAGTCGTTTTGAGCAGCAGATTTTATTTCTGGAAAAACAGGCTGAGACGATGAAACCCACGACGGAATGTCATGGGCGCGACGGATCGTCGAGGGTGTCTCGTCCCAAAACACTTAGAAATTTCTGAAATTTGGGTGCTAAAATCGACTCACTTAACTCTGTGATGGACCTGCAGGACGGATCGTCACAGGCACGACTGTAACAACCTGTCTAGTCGTTTTGAGCAGCAGATTTTATTTCTGGAAAAACAGGCTGAGGCGACGGACCCCACGACGGACCGTCATGGGCACGACGGACCGTCGCAGGGTCTCGTTTCAAAACACTTAGAAAAACTAAAAATTGGGTACTGAAATCGACTCTCTGAACTTCATAACGGAATGGCAGGACGGACCGTCATAGGTGTGACGGACCGTCACAGATTCTTCAGAGAAATTGAGTCTCTGAAATTTGTGACGGGCAGCAGGACGGACCGTCGTAGGCGCGACGGGCCGTCAAAGACTGCGAAATCCCAGTCTGGGTCGGATTTCTTGATACGTTTTAAGGGACGTTTTTGACTATTCTTGCCTTAATTATAAAGTTACTT